TATATCCTTTTACGGTTGTCGCATACGGAATGCTTTCAGATTCCTTTTTAAAAGTTAAAGGGCGGGCATGCATATTAATTGTATGGCTAATTACATTATTTTTTAATTTTATTTGTTGAACAGTTGATAGTGTAGATAAAATTAGGGGCGAAACATTGGATAACGACGTCTTTATGGGGTCTTTATGGCCGTCCTGACTAAAGGAATACTCAGGAGTATTGGACATGGTAAAATAACTTTTAGAAACTGGTAGACTTGTAACAATTGTTTGTGGTATCCGAAATATTTGTAAGATGTGATGATTGTAAAATTCAGTATTGAGGTCAATTATTGGATCAAAAGAAGAAGAATATTTAAAGCTGGGGTCTTTCTGTACGAGTTTACTGGGGGGAAACCAAACCTCGGGTGGTTTGTGGTCCAATTGTGAATGAAATGTTGCACTCTTTAGATGTTTTTGATGATTTATTGGTGTTGGAGGCGGTTTTAATATACTGGCATACTCTATCTTAGTTTTTTTATTATACGAATTATTATAATTATTCAAAATATTGGAATAAATTGGATTTTTTAAATATAATGATAGCGATATTGAGTGACGACTGTTTACTGCTGTTGTATTCCCGGTAAACAATGTGTGGGAAACTCCGATATTTACATTTGGCCTTCCAAATATAACATTAGCGCTGGCCGTTATGACCTCTCCGGGTCTAATAGGAATTCCCGTGTTCAACAACTCGTTTTCATATATCCTTGACGTTTTTAGTCGAGGCGATATATTTTTTTTTGTATTCCCTACTGTGTTTATCTTCGGTGGATATATATGTAATGTATTAATATTTGGTTTGTCTAGAATGCCGCTTTTTATCCGCTTTTCGTTTAATTCTTCATATACATTTTGGGCCAATGGTATATATACTGGTTTTTCAATTACTGCTGATGTAGTTTGGCTTTGAAGCCTATTAGACTTTGGCCAACCTTTTTTATATGTTGGTCTGTACGGCTGATCTTTTTGTAAGTGTTTTTTTAATAAGTGTGCCACAACATGTAGCACCGGACGGAAACTTTCCAAACCAAATTTCTCAATAGTACTGGTCTGGGAAGTTACAGAACTAAACCGCGACTGCATTAATTTGTTTTTAGTTTGTATGTACACTTCGCTATTTTCAGACTCCAATAATATTAAATCTTTATTGTTGAAAAGGCTACTGTTGGGGCTTGAATTTTTGAAATCCTCGCTAAAATTCTCATAAAATTCACCATTTTTAGTAATTAATGTTGGTTTTCGCTCACTACTTATTGGCGTAGCGCTGAGTAAACTCATTGCTGAGCTTATATGTATATTCTGTTTCTTCGACGTGTCAAAATTGTTTAAATGTGGCGTTTGGAGAATATAAACACCAGTTACTCGAATAATTTCACCTGGCAACAATGTGACCATTGTAACAATACTTTGCCGTTGATGTTTTCTCTTCTTAAGCATAAGTTTAGATTTCAAGGAAAGTAAAATATTTGAGTCTAACAGCGAACTACACACGGTATCGGTTAATATGTGTTTTTTAAAATGAGTGTGACGCATTAATTGATTGTTGGGAACTCTTAGATCGCTTTCGCAGGCTTCCTTTGATGTGGTCAAACTAGAATTATAAATACTTGTGCAATAAGTCAGTTTTTCTAACAAGGCTTTTGTTGAATATATCATAAGATAGTCAGATTCTTCAAAATTCATTGCAAAAGTAGATGAATTTCTTAATTGTTTCACACTCGAAACAATATCAGTTACTTCTGTATTCATGTGATTTGAAGTGGTAACTGGAAGAGGCTCTGTAATAACTACTTCAGTAAGATTTTTTTTACTTGTGCTATATGTTCGAGTTCCGAGTTCATCAAATAAGGTTCTAGTAAATAATATGGAACTGAAGTAGGTTCTTGTGCAAGGCGAAATATTTATAGTTGAATGTGGAAACCAAGACTTCTCTGGTTTCGTAATTGTTTTTGTAACAGTGTATTTTGATGTGACCATCGGATGTCCTCCATCAATTGTGTTAAAATAATGATAAGTTGTTGGAAACGTACCAACTACTAGATCTGGAGTCTGAGTTTCATATAAAAGTACAGCCATTATTTGACGGTAAATACAATATAAGCTTTTTGTCTTACCCTTGAGAAAGTGACGTCTGTTATCATCGAGTTACTTGCATGAAGGTAATTTCGGTCCTCTGTAAAACTGTTGGTAATAACCATGTTTTTGGTAACCAAATGAAAGCCTCCATTTTCCACATTGGTTGTGTGATATGTGTAAGTAGTTAGACAAATTTTTCTTACAAATACGTTTTTGGGAATTATAAGTGTGTCCTATGGAATGAGTAAATAAGACTTGTTAAATTTTCTCAATCGTATAAAAAACACTTACCTGTCTAATTAAAGGCAATGTTAAAATCATCTGATTTTTTAATGTACTTGGGGCCAATGTCAAGGGCTTGTCGGATCGTACGGTTATTAAAATTGCTTGATCATTATTACTGGTTAATTTTTGGGTTGTCCTCGCTAGGTTTTCAGTATATTTCCCCTTTTCGTCGGCAATTATTAGTTCCACTCCATTTGACATAACGTGAGTGGCAAGATTGTACCTGGCTTCGTCTAATACTTTTGCCGAGACGGAGCCATATAACAAATTATTTTCGTTATCCAGCTCGTACCTTTTATTAAATTTCTCGGTCTTGCTATGTACTTTGAAACTATAACCTTCTAACTGATTGTGCTCTATAGGAATTTCAAAAGAATATTATATTTGTGAGATCACTTGGCTTACTGCGGTTTTGTTTAAGACGATATGATAAGGGAGAAAATGTGGAAAACGTAATATATTAACCAGAAAAATATTGAGAGAGATTAAATAATAAAATGCATTTTCATCTTTTTTTATTTGCTGTACAGATAGTTTAGTGGTATAGGAAAAGAAATATTGCTGTTAGCCATTAATCTCCATTATGAGTTTTGTTCATCGTAGAGTTTGATGTATATCATTTTAGATATACGGTCTATATAGGCTATACGATCTAGAGGTAAAAGTAATGAGATCAACAACATCTTATAATTTAGCTCAAAAGCGTTACTTAGAGAATTTACCTCAAAGGATTAATTGACTATAAAAAGTCAATACAATGTTGCATTCCGTGGACGCAACACTTTGGGGCGGCATGTGGGCGTGGCAATTTTTGAAAAGAACTTTCCCAACGTAAGCGTCATCACAATAGACTTGCCTAGTGATCATGGTACTTAGTTTTCAACCGTTTTACCACACAAGGAACGGGCGTGGTCTTCTTTATAAACGTTGCCGGGTTAATCTCCTAAAGCATTTGGTATTAGCGATCACTGATCGCAGCCTTGTTGCTATTCGTCACTGGTATTACTGCTGCATCATTATCACAAAGTATTGGTACCAAACTGTAGGTTTTCTAAAACTACAGAATACTAAATCGTAAGACCTCATCTGTACTTGAAGGACCTACAACATATTAAAAGTATTTTTAAGCAACGCACGCGCGCACTTATAAAATTGAAACAACAACAATACTATCCAGTTAGTCAGTACACGCTGAAGAAAGGTTTGACATCAAAGACTTTACTTACCATTAAGTGCGAAGCTGAATTTTTCCAGTGAATTGTTACTGTCTGTACCAAATCTTTATTCACGGCTTACTACTACATATTGTGGATCGGCATTGAGATAATCTTACTAAAGCATGGTTTTAGTTCTTATGGAAGAGCACAAATGATCTGAATTACGTCTTGACCTCATATAAAATGTAGATTTAATTCAATAATATTAAAAAAAAATTAATAAAAAGGGTTACAAACATCCAACAGTTCTAAAGTTTAAATACAAGAAAAAAAGGATATAAAACGAGACGTGTTCAAGATACCCGAACTGACTTGAAGCAGAACTGCAACCATTTACAAGATTCAACGCGATTACCACCTATCGACGGGTACGGATATTGGTGCTAACACTTTATAATTGACTTTGATTTAAACAATGTGATTAACAAAACAAATTCACCATTTCCAGCCTTTCATGCAATTCACGCTTTTCCAGCATCACCATACAGAGTACAGTGTTATGGACGTCAGTGTTATAGATTTCTCCTACCTCTTGCCTACGTTTCAAAGAATACAGTGCAACGTCTTACAATCCGAATAATGGGTATAGGGATTCTTAAAACAAAAAATAATACTCAAAACGGTCAAATATTATTTTTAATTGAAATTTTAGTTTAGACCTATTTTGTACAGATTTTTTAAATAAATTCAAATACCTCAAAACAACATAATTTCTTTTTATTTAACGAATATATATACATTTTTGTTATAATATATTAGTAGCCTTATTAAATAATCTCATAATTTTACATATATACATAAGGTTCAGTTTAAAGTATTGGTATACTTATTTTTTACTTATATAACCAATAACTGAAGGAATAAGTCGTAACTAAGCTACACAGTGGTTATTATATGTTTAATTTTGAAACAAATTTTATTTAACTACAAATTATCGAAAATTATTTTCTAACGTTTTTTCAAAGTTCACGTCCTTGTAGCGTCCAGGGTCCTACAAATTTGTATTTTTTTAGTAATAACATTGTTAGCCTGTTATTATTATTATTATACTCCAATTAAACAACTTACAAAGAGGTCATCTGGGTAAACTGTTATAAAAGAAATGTCGGTTATCCGGGAAAAATTGCAATGTAAACGAATCTAGTTATTTATTTTCTACATTTCCGCATTTCTTTATTTCAAGCTTAACATTTATCTTTATATATATATATATATATTATATATATAATATATAATTAGATATATATGCAATGCAACATTTTAGTTTTTTTGGGCGATTGCCAGAAAAAAGCTATCGAATCAGTTTTGGTTTTAATATTATACAAAAAAAAATTTTAAAGTTGTAAAATCAGAGTTGCTGTCTGTTGGGCATTGTTGGGTATTGAAGAAGTTCCTAGTGATACTATATTTATCTTTGACTAGTATTTGGACATCTTCCAAGGAGTGGCAGGACATATTTCGCTTACATTCTGAAGTAATAATTTTTCTTGTAAGATGAAGTGACAAACGGCCTTTAACTAATTTAAAGTAGCATAAGGTTATTTTAATTTAGAAATTATATTACTACAGATTTTATTAATGTTGCCGCCGTTGTAGATTGTCCATTAGAATTTTCAAACCAAAGATGCACATCACCTACAATGCTTTCTAATGATGCAGTTTGATCAGGTAATTCGTTAAATCCAAATTCAATCGTCAAAGAACTTCTTAGATCTTTTAAAATAACATTTTTGTCCATCATATTTTCGATCTTTTCTGTGCTAGAAACATAATTCTTAGAATTGGTTGGCTGTATTTCTAAAATTGCGTGCCTCTTCTGCAATGAAACAGAGTGCTCAAACTCTCTCACAGTTGACAATACAGTACTAAATTCACCAGGTCTACGGCCCGATACATAAAGTGTTATTATACTCGATTCCTGATGTTTCTTGCTGCCACTGTTTGTTTTTCGTGATTTTTTTCGATGGCTTTTGGTAACTTGAGACTCATTACTGACCGACACCAAATCCGAACCATATTCAACAATTTCGCTGGCATCCGACATTATTGATGACCGTGTCCCATCGTCCAAAACTTGCAGGTTTTCACTTAACAATACTTGTGGCGGAGTAGTGTTTGATATAGCTTGGACGAGTGACTCCTGCTGTTGTTGAATAAGTAAGTGCTGCAATAACAAATTATTTACATGAGCAGCCGGTCCAATAGTCTGCACACTTTGAACTGATGGCTGAGTGTTAATTATGGTATCCACACTATATTCTGTAGCTGTTATAGTCTGTGCGGTAGTGTCATAAACAGTAGTTAAAATCTTTTTTCCTTGAAATGTCACTGGAAGAATAGTAGACATCCCGTCGAATATTGTAGTAACATATGTTGAAGTGTGGGTGCGATACTCAGTGATAGGCTCAACAGATGTGGGAATCGCAGCGGATGGGACGTTGTGTTGTCCGACAGCTCCAATCAAGGGATGAGCAGGTAAGTTTAAGTTTCCTAAAAGCAACTGGGAAAGTAAAATATTGGCAAGCGGTGCGTTTTCAGTAATTTGAGGCTGTATTGTAGTTACAATGTGCTCTACAGAATACGCTGTAGATGGAATAATATGTGAAAAGGATGTCTTTCTTCCTCGAATGGTGGTTGGTGTAAAAGTTACAGAACTTGTGATAGATTCATGCAATAAATATTTTGTATGTTCGGTGGCACCAGCAATATTTATAATAGATGTTTCTCGATTTAAGTATGTGGAACTCATCCCGTTTGTACCTAATACTACTGCAAACTCATTTGGACCCACGATCTCAGTGCTTGATTTGGCAGTGACAATGTTTTTGTACTCAGTTACATGTCCGCTTACTACAGGTACAGCGACCTCAGATGGTATAAAATGTGTAACTGTGATACTTTGAAGTTCATGTTCTACGGATTGTAAATCCGATGCGTATTCGATTCGTTTTCGACCACGACTTCTTCCTCTATTTAATGTATTAGAGTTCGAGTTTCGGGAACGGGATGAACTGGATTGTCGCCCATTGTCTACACTATTTTTGTTATAGCTTACATAGCTCTTTAGTCTACGACTATTTGAATTTCCAGCAGGGCGCCTTTTTGAAGAATTTCCACTAGCTGGTTGGCGCCGAAAGTTATTAGATGTAGTGCCTTTTAAATTACCATCTTTCTCTCTCAACGTAAATTGTGGTCGCTTTGTCGTCGGTCTGCTTGGGCGAATCGACCTATGATTGGTTGCTGTTGTTGAGTCTACGATTAATGCCTGCGTATATAGCTGATGTCCCTGGGGAGAATGAAATCTTGATCCAAATCTAGAACCAGACTTATCACGAGGGGTTAATATAGTCTCAGTATTATAGTCGGAGTCCATAAGCTTTGACTCAACTTTGGTAGTTATTGTTTGGTTTTGTCGACGAAATCTGAATTTATTTCTCCTTACTGTATCCGCTTGCCGACGGAATCGATGCCCAGTTGTGAAATATGCCGAATTTTTAATAGATCGCTTTTGACGAGGAACATTTTTATCCAGATCTTGTTCTTCGACACTTCCTTCATATTCAAAATCATTGCTAGAAACACTATCGTTTGTCTTAACTGCCTTAAGGTTTTCATTTTTTAGCTGACTTTGAAAAAGGCCTCTTGGCGGAAAAAGTGTGTTTTGTGGTCTTGATCTTGGATGAGGGCCAATAGGTCGCTGAAAACTTCGCGCCCTTGGCTTGGCGGTCGTTGTCGTTGTACTGGTTGTCGTAGTCGAAATTTTTGCTCGGGAAGATAGCGGGTTTCGTCTGAGCGAAACAGCTGGCGAATTGCCAGTCTGTCGAATTGCAGGAATAAATCCACTGGGCGCATTTATAGGTCGACGAAAGCGCAGTAACGGGCTGTTGTTATTGTTCTTAATTCCTTCTTCCACATCCGCTACTTCATCGGTTGAGGTATCCTCTTCAACGCTGCCTTCCGAGCTTGACTCCGCAACGAACGTTGAGGACTGTGTCGACCTATAGCTTGATACTAGCCCTGAGCTAGTTGGCTTTATGCGCAACCTTGAGTTGGTTATAACTCCAGAGCCACGAAACACAGGAAAACTTGATGATCGATATGAAACATTTATATTTTGTCGCCTGGAACTAACGACTGGGCGAAAAGCTGAAGCAAACCGGGTGCTCGATGGTGAAAATGCGTTGCTAGTGTCATTCGCTTCGATTAAATCTGACGACAATGACTTACTTGGTCGCCCAAACAGGCGCCTGGATGACTGACTCTGCGACAAGTTAAGCTCGTTGGCATTAATTGGAACATTAGAAATAATACCCCGACGAGATGCGGTATATCTACCTGCAGATTTTAAGGCAGGCGTTGCTGTTATAGTAGGTGTGATGTCGGATCTTGTAATAATAGTAGCGCTACTTGGGACTAGTGTTTTTTGTTTAGGTGCGAATGTAGGCCGGTTTCGTGAGGCAAACGGCCGAATTACTGGTGCAAATGGTCGCTTTGAACTTTGTGGTGAATGATTAGACAACCAGTCAATGTTATCCGACTCTGGTTTCGTGTTTGTCCGGTCTTTATAAGGAACTACTGAGTCATCATTTTCACTTATGGTTAATTCTGTTATTTCAATAATATCCAAATTTTTCGTAATCATATCAGGAATTTTAACACTTGTCGGAAACAAATTATGGTCAGACTTTGTTTTTTCAAAGAAAAAACTTGATGTACTTTCAATTATTTGCGCGTATCGATTGTCTATTACAGTTCCTATAACTCTAGATTGGTATAATGTGGTCGTACTGTTTTGTATGCGTTTTCCTTCAATAAGCCTTACTAAGCCTGTTTTATACAAATTTATGTTCGATATGCTGTAATCAGGGATGTTGCCAATGATAGGCAAGCTAGATTTTTTCGACTGGTCAACGTGTAACCTTGATGTGCTACTGGTTATTTTAATATCATGTCCCTCACTATTTATTGACGATACAATTTCCGTTGTAAAATACAAAGTACTTATTTTTTCCGCATCAATTATTTGCTTATAATCATACAAAACAACATTCGGATTAATGGTTTCAATTGGATTTTCAAAATGAGCAATGGGGTGACTAGGTTTGATCATTAAAAGTGTTGCATCTGTAACTTCCATTGGATTGGATATTTCCCTGGATGTCATTATATTGGTAACGGTTTCGAGACGAGAATCAATAAATGTCGTATTAACGTCATATGATGTAGTATAATACGTATAGGTGGTATAGAATGTGGTAATGTCAGATTGAAAGTTTGGGTCTTTCAAAGTAGATATCAATGATCCTTCGGATTCGGAACTCTGATTATTCTGGGTTTTGCTATCAGTTGCGGCTGACAGACTTGATACCATATCTGCTGTTTTTAAATCGTTAACGGCTAAAGTTGTACCGTTACTGTGTTGTATGACATTAGATAAAGTTTCCTCCCTGCTTAATGTTGTAATCTCACCATCTTTAGCCAACTTTGTCCAATAAGTAAATGTTGTAAAATAAGTAATAGGGAAAGAAGAATCCTCCACACTTACTAATTTTGTAGGCTGCAAAGTTTCGGTAGCTACATTGGTAATAGTCTCATGTCGACTAATAATACTTGTATCATCCCCTACATACATTGTTGTATAAAAGGTAAAGGTTGTAAAACTTGTTTGAAGAAGAAACGTTGCTGACGGTATAATCTCCTCTGTGTTACTTTCCGAACTTACTTGGTCTTCAGTAAGGTTTTGGTTATTAAAACTAGCTGGACTTGAATCACTTACAATGCTCGAGTTTACTCCTATTCCAAATGTCATATTTTCTACCTTATCGATTTTATTCTCGACTAAAGAATATTGTGATTTTACAATATTTTGATTTGTAGTTTTGGAATTAACGACACTTATAATATTAGTTTGATCGTTTGGTACATTTTTAGTAATATAATTGGTTACAATCTCTATTCGTGATTGTACTGCAGTTTCGTTACTTGTAAAAATTGATGTATAATATGTATATGTTGTGAACAAAGTCTTAGTAAATTTTAAATCGTCGAGATAGGTGGTCATCATCTGTATAGAACTCTCTGCAGTATTTACTTTACTTTCCTGGGCTAATAGACTAGCAATTTCATCAGGTATAGTATACGTCCGAGAATGGTCAATCTCTCGAATTGCATTTTCAGAAATATGGCTCTCTTCAACATAATTTAAAGTGTTGGATTCTAATTTACTTTCAGGCAAAAATGTTGAGGAAACGATGTTTGTTAAAACCTCAGTATGGCTAGATATGGTAGTTCTAGACCCTTCAAAGAATGTGGTCAAGTATGTATAAGTTGTATATAGAGTTTTATATATTAGGTCAACTTCATCACTAACACTTTCGTCTTCTTCATCTTCGCTTTCATATTCGTTTTCTGTGGTCACTTCATAATCCTGTAAGTCTTGAACCGTTGTTTCGTCTTTATCATCATCTATTATATTAATTGACATGAATTCTCCACTTGACTTAGTAACAGTATCGTGGGGAACACTGATTATATTTAATTCTGGGTTTTGTTTTGATTGTGAAGCTTGTATGCAATAATATTTGGTAGTCTCTATAATTTCATAAGCATGAAGTGGATTCGCATTAATAACAATAGTATCCCTACCATTATTTTCTTTGTTTGTATTATTTGCCTTAGTCATTTGAGTAAGAAAAACCTGTGAAGTTGTATGGTTGCATAATTCGTCGAAATTGTGATTTTCATTACTTGTTTCAAAAACTTGATAATTGACCAAGCTGCTCTGTGTTATGTTAATATTAGTTTGATGTGTCACGGTCTCATGGACTTCATCTCCCTTTGATATTTGAATAGGTTTTACGGATTGTATTTGGTCAGCGGAATTCAAGTTTAAGCTCGTTGAATCACTAAGCTTATCAAAACTAGAGAAGGGATCATCATCAATAAATACAGTTGTAGCGCCTTCATGTTTTGGAATGCTATGTTCAAGCTGCTTCGTTCCTACTTTCAATCCAGCATTAGTAACATTAGAGGGCGATATAAGATCTTTAAATCCATTGGAGACCAATGGAACTATTTCTTTAGATAACACCGAACTGGCATTCTGCTGTTCTTCAAATGAATTTAATGCAAATGTGGTTAATGAGTTCATTGGTTTCAATTTCAAAACCAAAAAGTTGTTCGAATCATTTTTATCAAATATTTCACTAGCAATAATATTTGACCCCAATTCTTCATTTATTTTCGAACTGGTACCCATCGTTAAAGTACTCTGTGGTTTTTCCATAGTCTGAGCGATTTCTATGGGGATTGAATCATGTTGTAAAGTAGGCTTGCCTTTTATTGATGTAACGTGTCCGTAATGCAGGCTGCTTTGTGTAGTACTAGGAGAAAAAACTATTACGCTATCACCAACAATGGTGGTGAAATCCGCGAAGCCATAATACGTAACGGTTGCTAGGATTTGCTTGCGGGCGGATCTACTTTTTTGGTTATGATCTTCGTAATTTTGTTCTCTATGCGGTTGCATCACACGTTCATATTTTATTTCTTTTCTTGGAGCATGTGGGTCGAACGCGTATTGGTTAAACGTTGTAGTAGTAGTGAAATTTTCACTAGGGCTTTTTACTGTATATGTTTGCAAATGTTTAATTGATAATACCTCAATCAATCTGTTCATTTCATCTTTCTTATTTAAGTCAATCTTCAACATATCGTTGCTGTCTTGTGCTACAGATGTTATTGTTTTTTCATCATGCAAAACGGGAGCTCCTAAGGTTTTGATTTTTGTGCTTTGCTCGATTACGAAATCTGTATTACCCACGAACTCTCGGTGATGAACACCTATACTGTCATCGATATCCTGCCAGTCAGAGTCATCAAAGTTAAAAAGATCGTTGTGGCTTTGTAAAAATAGTGGTGTGTGGAGAGAATCTTCTTCACCTACCCAACTAGTAACCACAGATGGGCCTACATTTTCGTTTTCATAAAGGACTCTAGAACTCTTTCTTAGGTATTGTGCGTAAAGGCGGCCATTATTTAAAGTAGTCCCCAAAATCTTGGTAGCAAACTCTGTTGTTATTCCGTCCTGAATAAATGTTCTGGCTGTTGATGTTAAAACACCTATATCTGGGCGTACTGTTAAGAACCTTCCATGAAAATCGGCCACATGCCCTGATTCGTTATTTACCAAGAGTACCGTGGTAATATCTATTCATTTATGAAGAGATTTGCCAAAATCACAGTCATTAAGTAAAGTAGAAATTACAAGTAAAAAAAAAAAAGCGTCAAAGTCGTTCATATATACATTAGCAGAAACAGAACAATATCAAGGCGTAAGATAAAAAGTAAAGTAAGTTAATGTTTCCAGAATGTACATTCCAAAAGTTGGTGAAATCATAGAAAGAGATAAAGAAGATGAATAAGAAAATATTTTAATTGATAAAATACTATATAATTCTATAAATAGACTATGAACCAATCCTTAATTCGATTACCATTTTGAAATGCTTAAATAAGAACATAATTAAAAATTAAATTTAATCTGTAACTAATTTAAGAACAGCGCTTTTTGTTTCAAATTTCTTACCATCCCCGACTCTTGCTGGCAAACTGGGTGTCGGACTCACATAATAAGACTGATCTGTAAGTATATTAAATACCTTTTTTTTAAATATTTATTGTTTTTATGTATGTTAGTATCTAGGAAACTATATTAAAATTACAGAATTGTCACGTATTTTCTGGGTACAGAAACATTTATATATATAGACTTCACTATTCTCGTCAATTCATATTGGCAGTCAATGCATGGTTAAACAGTTTTTTGGAAAGAGTAAGAACGAACGGACGGACAACAGACGAATTATCCATATCGACTCGGTTCATAGTGTATAAGAACGTATATATACAGAGGTGGTCAAAAGTATTTACACAACGTGCTTTTTTTTCAATTGTCAACTTTGATCGCTTATTGCTGCTGCATTTGTACTCAGAAACGAACATAACGGTATTTGTCGTGTTTCTACATCTATACAGAAGCAAACGAAAAAAGAAGTGGAAAAAACTGTTCATGGGCTAAAAATAGAAGCATTGAACTGATGCTTGTCTGTTGTCAGAAGTATTTACACACAATTTTTACACGTCAAAATTATTTACACATTGCAAATTGAAGATTAGTCTTTGATTTGCATTGAGTAAGTGAAGTTCTAGTTGATGTTGATCGCTTAATTGGAACTTAAACTAACTGTTAACAGTTAAATTAATAGATTAAAAAGCATTTAATTTGTAAAATGGCAAAAACAAAGGAGCTATCAGTTGAGCATCGAGCCGAGATTGTCACTAAGTTTAAGGCTGGTACTTCTGCATCCAAATTAGCTGAGTTGTACAAAATATCACGTAAAACTGTGTACAATTTAGTTAAAAAAAAGGACACACTGGGAAATTTGGAAAATAAAAAGAGAACTGCCCGAAAAGTTGTATTGAACCCAAGAGACTGCAGACACATTATAGGAGTTGTACTAAGTAATCCCACCATAAGTACCGTTAAAATTGTTGCAGCTTCGAAAAATTTAATTGGAAAACATATTAGCGATAGTACACTGCGTCGCAGAATGAAGGAAGTTGACATCAACACCTACTTTGTTCGTGCAGTAGTTGATATTACCCCAAGAAACAAGGAAAAACGTCTCGCATTTGCCTTGGAGTATAAAGAGAAGCCTCTCGAGTTCTGGTTTGATGTTTTATGGACTGATGAAGTTGCGTTTCAGTTTCAGGGATCATTTAGCAAGCAATTTATGCATCTCCCAAAACAACTAAAGGGTAATGCCGTCCAGCCAATCAATCGGTTTGGTGGTGGCACGGTGATGTTCTGGGCCTGTTTAAGCTACTATGGATTTTGAGACATGGTACCGATAGAGGGTACCATGCCACAAGGGCCGAGTACCAACCAAGTTCTTGAAAGACATAAATCAGGCCGTACTTCCATGGCCCGCACAAAGCCCCGATCTGAACATTATCGAAAATGTCTGGGCTTATGTTAAGAGTGAGAGTATAGCCGAAATTACGGAAATTTGGTCAAAATTACCTCTTGAGTTTGCGCACAACTTGGTCCGGTCAATACCAGCAAGGCTCCAAGCAGTCATTGATGCCAAAGGCGGAGTAACTAGATATTAGTTGGCTTAACATAATCACATATTAAAATAATATAAAATATTTCGTTTAAATTCAATAAAAAACGCAAAAATCAATTAAAAAAAAGCTGTGTGTAAATAATTTTGACGTGTAAAAATTGTGTGTAAATACTTCTGACAACAGACAAGCATCAGTTCAATGCTTCTATTTTTAGCCCATGAACAGTTATTTTTTCCACTTCTTTTTTCGTTTGCTTCTGTATAGATGTAGAAACACGACAAATACCGTTATGTTCGTTTCTGAGTACAAATGCAGCAGCAATAAGCGATCAAAGTTGACAATTGAAAAAAAAGCACGTTGTGTAAATACTTTTGTCCACCTCTGTATATATACGTATATATATATTTTTTTTTTATATAGTTTTTTTATATATATAGTACATATATATATATATATATAAATGTTATTATATGTATATATATCATTGTTTTCTTATTCATTATACAACAATTTGTCGACTATCCAAGCTTTCGGTTATAATAAATAATAAAATAAATCATTGTTCGTTGTCTTTGGTCATAAAGTTTGTTATTTTTAAATGTATAATTATTCCTTTCTTATTTTTATTTTTATTTGTAATGAAGAAATACGAATACATATATTTGTGCAGCAAAGATAAACATTGAATCACCGTTAACTTAAATGTTTGCTTATTTCTTTTATGAGATTCCCACTTATACCAAACGTGGCCACGGATTAAAACAGGTTTGGCCTGTCAATACCTTAGGTAGCCAGTTAAACGCGGATACACCGAAAATTACATATATGTATACACGGCTTAGAAATTTCACAATAACTACAAGGTAGTGTGAAGTTTTTAAGATTATATAATATTTGGTAAAATTTATCGGATACATTACGACCACTAGAGCCATTTTCGTCATACTCACTAATTGCTTGGGAAGTTTCAATGTGGATCATGATCAATACGAGTGTGGTAAACAAAACACGGGTCAAGTTTAATTTGCAATAAGTAGAATATATCATCCTTTTTGTAAGGGTTGAAATGTTGTATTTTTTATGGTAAATATCCGATATTTCGTTGTCTTCACGTGGCTGAAGCATATTTAGTTTCTTTAAAATGCAAAAAAGAAAAAGTAAGAAATAATAAACAGCTTCAGATTCAATTTATACTTCACATAAATTTGCAAGACACCAAAGCGATTTTTGAAATTAATTGAATGTGTGAGAAACACGCACGTCTACCTGAAGAAACGAAAGCCAGAGAACTGATTTCACTGGCACAATAACAGACTCATCCGGTTGTTACTATGCGGTTAAGCTACACAAAGGTGGTTAGGCTGGTTTCGACAACTTCAATAATTCCCATTTAACATATATTAGCTGCCTTAAAATTGTATGTTTTGAAATGATATGCCCTACATATGTATGTCGATTCCCATATAATTAAACACTTTTTAAAAATCAATTAGTGTGAGATTATGGGATTCTAAGAATATCGAGGCACAAACTTATTATTATGAAACTATATTCATTGACTTATGACTTATATTTATTTGATCTTAAAATGCAAGAAATGCTTTTATATCCTTACAGTAAGTACATATATTTTAAAAACACTCGGTATAAAAAAAAATTATTGATCAAAACTTTGGTTTCTTCTCTCTTATTTTCATTTAATTTTCTGACGGTTTTTATGTCAGCCATATAATAAAGTCATCCGATTTTTATTAAATTAAACATCACATTTTTTTATTGAACAATGGTTTAAACGAATTATAACAATTTGTGTTCAAAAGCAACGAGGGCACATATATTTTTTTGGTTTATGACAGCTTTACAAGGTGCGTTTCAAAGTAAACAGGACTTAATAAAAAAGACAGAACTAATGGTTTTATCGGCAAAATCAAAAATTGTCTCCTGCTTTAATACAGCTTTTTGGACGGCCCAAAAGCATGTCGAACGACAGTTTTAGCTCGTTGCCCGGTATGGCCGCCAGTATGCCGGTGCAAGCCTTTTGAATGGCCTCTATGTCTGCATAGTCGTTTCCTTTCATCGGCAAATGCATTTTCCCGAAAAGGTAGGAGTCGCATGGTGCCATTTCAGGTGAGTACGGGGAATGGTTAATTTTTAAAATGTTATTTTTGGTCAAATAATCGGACACAAGCGTCCATCAATGAGACGACGCATTATCGTAAAACAAACGCCAACTTCCATCCTCCCGATATTCGGGACGAACACGTCGAGTATGGCTCACCAAACGCTTCAAAACTCAAAGGTAGAATACCGCATTAACGTTTTGGCCGGGTGGAACACATTCTTTGTGGAAAGTACCTTTGGAATCATAAAAACAAATCAGCATTGTCTTCACTTTTGATTTCTCCAGGCGCGATTTTTTGGGTCTCGGCGCCATTCAGCACTTCGGCGTTTCGTTTCGGGATCACCACGTTTCGTCACCAGTCACAATCTTGTAAGGGTAATTCGGGTATTTTTTTTGCCACTTACCACTATTCAATACCAACGGTATTAAAAAATGTATAACGTTTTTTATAAGTAACCTAATACTGCCAAAATTAATGTATTTATATTTTCTCATATGGTGAAACACAATCATTTATTCCATATTATTCCTAAAACTTATGGGGGAACATATCTAGGTGGATTGCTTTTACAACTGTAAATCTATAAACACATAAACAAAAAACTTGTTAATATACAAGGTAAGGGAATTGAATTTATTCGGCCGCTACCGGTGGTGGTCCATACAACCGGTAGTGGCCCTAATAGATGTCGAAGGTCGCTCTATGCGGAATCCAACAAATGGTGGACGAAATTGAGTCTGGAGTCCGGAGTCTTCGGTCATCGGTAAGCATCCAGATGAGTCCACTGCTTCCACAGATGAAAGTCCAAAATGCGAAAGTGCGAGTCAACCTCAGTCTATGGAAGTCTACAGAATGTACTGATGAAAATTGAGTTAAAGAAATCTAAGGCTAATGAATCATTTTTTTTATTTTAATTTACAATGTTTTCAACGATGTCCAACGCTGGCCTTTGACTGTGTTATTTCGTAAAAAGAATATTTCCCCTTTGTATTTGATTCGCCACAGTATGTTTATGTGGTTCCCATGAAGAAGTTCTTATATTTTGACAGGCTGACTCCTTCCAATATTTTTCACAACTATTTCTGTCTTAGGGTCAATCTGGGTCGTGAATTGTCTGGCTTGGAACTAATGGTAAATAATATCATTACAACTGAAAACGATGGTATCGATAATTGTCTTGTTCTATTAGCTTGCTTGTGTATATTCTCTTAATCTTTGTACTTGGTACTTATGGTCGTAGTCATCTCCAAATATAATGGGGCAACGCTTTAAATTTATCGTTTTCATCATTTCGTCATCTTTGTCCCAATGATTATGGTTGCTGGGATGATTCGCTATTATTTTTCTTGTCAATTTCTATCGATATGACAATAAAATGTAATTTCTCCCTAGCTCTCCTTATGATTAAAAATAAAATGATTATAGAATTTCTAGATTTGGTGAGAAGTATGTAAGAAGTAGAAGGAAGCGTTGTCGACTATATAAAGTATATATTCTTGGTCAGGATCAATAAACTGTTGATCTGGAGCGCAAATCGTGGGGATAAAACGGTCAACAGTTAGATGCGAGCTATGTATGTTAGAAACCATCACAGCTTATTTCGCAACCGCCACAGTAAGTTTACAAGCTTTGTTACAGTGAACAACTGGTTTTAATTTAATTAAATTTTGTTGCAATTAAAAAAAAAAAAATTGATTAGTTTTAAGCATTAGGTAATAGAAATAAAAGGTGTGCTTAATCGAATCTGCTTTCAACTTTAATAAGCTTTAATTAAAACTTCATATTAAACTACAATATATAACGGTCAAGGTCCGCGAATTTTTTGCACCTAATTTTAATTAAATTAAATTTCGTTGCAATTTGTTAATAAAAATGGATTAGATATTAAGCATTAGGTAATAATAGAAATAAAAAGTGTGGCTAATCGAATCTGCTTTCAACTTTAAATAAAACTTCATATTATACACTACAATATATAACGGTCAAGGTCCGCGAATTTTTTGCACCTAATGGCTTGAAACCATTAGTTTCCGTCACATTATCACTTTATCTATTATTTAAAGCATTTATTATGCTAATTTAAAACGTATTACCGTAAAATGTGCAGTTAGTTTTAAAAGTATAGTTACATTCTAATAAAACGTCAATTATTTGTATTTTTATTTATTTAATTGTGCTAAAATGAACAAATTTAAAAACACTGATAGTCTGTCAGACTGTGCTCAATTATTTATGCTACAATTTTTTTTTATGTGACTTATTAAATTTTCGGCGTTTTAAAATCATATCATACAGAGCGTCCAAACCTTCTTGGAGACCCTCGCCAGTAATAGCACAGGTCGGCTGTATATACCACCCCCTAAATTGCACAGAATTTGATGAAACGCTGTTAGTTTTTTTGTTATGAAAACCATTTTTAACATCTTGTTGGTTTTTCTGATCCAATACAGCAGAATTGTGGTGAGATTGCGGATATATAAATGCTGTCAAATTGTGGTCATTACTATCAAGTGCAGGTTTTATGTGAATCATATTAGAATGCAAATGACCCTCTTTTTTCTCTTCTAAAGATTTATCTGTAATACTTTGGTTTGAAACGCTACAGCCGATTAAATTAATTGTAGAAGAAGAGTCGGAACCAGGAGGCATTGATATATTCGGCACCAAGTTGTAAAGTTCGTTCAGTCCTAAAAGTTTTTCCAGCTCCATTGCACCACAAGCATTGGGCAGATCTTGCTTATTTGCTAGTATCAGCACGGGAACACCCTTTTAAATAAACGAAAATAATAATAATAATAGGTTAAATTTCATATTTTATCTTACATAGTTATTAGCAACTTCATTTTTATATATAATTACGTAAAGAAAGAAACCGCAGAGAAAGTTGCGGAGATCTCGCAGTTTCCTGCGAATACGATAACTATATACAGCTGCGAAAAATAAAATAGCACCACTTGCCCAATAAAAGTCTGAATAAGTCACCTACCTACAATTTAGGGTTTAAAAGGAGCTGAAATACCTTTTAGAAAGGGTAAACAATTCACTTATTAGGAAATAAAAAAGAACTACAATTGTTCTATTTATTCTTATCTTAAATAAGGAACTTTATTAAGAACGACAAAATTAGGCGAAAAATAAAATAGCACCACCACCTTATGAAAAATGCTTAAATTTTCAATTTCAAACTTAATAGTACCAAATTTAGTGATAACAAATGTTTGTTATTCCACTAATTTTATATTTTGAAGTGTACCTTATTAGTTATAACAGCTGCGCAACGTTTTCGCATGGAGTCAACCCAGGACCTGGCACCGTTTTAGGGATATTTTTCTCCAGGACTCCTTAATTACAGCCCAAAGGCTGTTCCTTAGTTGGTTTAGAAGCTACAACTGCGTTTTTAATATCCGACCAAAGATTTTCGATTGGATTTAGGTGTGGGGACTGTGCAGGCTACGCCAAAACAAGAACAGATTGTTTTTTTTTTACCTTGGTTTTCCTGCTGGTGTGCTTGAGGTCTTGTTGGAAGACCCAATTTAGCGGCATACCAAATTCGGCAAAGGGTAGCATCACCGTCTCCAAAATATCCATATAGACATATGGACGGTATTCTTAGGGCGCCTTACATACGATCGAGATCCCTTGCCACCAAAAAGAACCTCTGACCATAAAAAGTTCCTCCATTTACGCATGGCCAATTTAAATGTTCCTTGGCGAACTTAATGTACTTGGCTATGTGTCTCCCATTTAAAAGGGCGACTTTCCTGGTCTGTAGTACTTTTAAACCATGTTCCCTGAGATATGTTACACTGTTTCGGATATGTTGAGCACCTTTTTCAGTTCGGTAGCAGCCTTCAATGTATCCTTCCTGCTCGCGCGCACTAGCCTTTTTGCCGTTTTATAATCATTTTCTTCAACGTGTTTCGGGCTTCTCACTTTATTATTTTGTTCGAGCATTGAAGAATTCGACCAATATATCTGTATGATTTTTTTTGATATATGACTTTTTGATCATGTCACGTTTTTTCTGAAGTGCACTGCTTTCCACGTCCCATTTTAATAATTTTTTAAGGTAGGTTTTTAAAAATAATGTTGAAAATAGGAATACAAATATTAAGTTTATAACTATGTGCTTTTACGAAAATAGGCCGCCGATAAGTATCGAATATTTGAAAAAACATATAGAGGTGCAATTTTTTTAACCTTATTTTGGATCTTTCCACATCAAAAATTAATAAAAAATAAAGTAATTGCCATTTCGAAAAATTTTTTATCATATTCGGATATGGAAAATACCCATATTTATGCGAAAAATCTGTATTTCTTAATAACGGTGCCGCAACCTTTATTTATATGATGGAGAATAAAATACGATATGGTGGTGCTATTATTTTTTTCGCAGCTGTATGTACATATATAGGGGAAAAAAATATCATAAACATGAAACGAAAAACTTAAGTCAGCTCAAACACCAAAGGACTCCATAATTGAAAAAATAGGTCAGGGAAAAATAAAAAAATATATATTAATGATCATCATTAATACCAGATGTCCGTATGTCTGTCCGTCCGTCTGTCTTTCGGCAGATTCCAGAGACGTACTCGCAGCGCGAGTTTGCGTAGCCACAAACACTCTTAACGCTCACAAACAGCTCCAGCCTGCCGAGCCCACACATTTGGAAAATGTTTTGATATTTTGTAATTTTTTTATAAAACTTGTAAATTTTTGTCGTATCGCCAAAAAAGTTTTTGGCACGCTCGAAACAATGCCGTTCACCCTCATAAAAAATGTTTTGATATTTTATCCATTTTATTTTATCGCCAACAAGCCGACCAAAACTGTCACGACCACACTTTTGAACAATTTTTTTCAAATTGATTATTTTGTTTTGCAATTTCTATCCATATGCACTTCCACTAGCTGAGTAAGGGGTATCTGATTATATAGCGTTCTCTCTTGTTTGACATACATTTGTGGGCTTCGTCGGTAATAGCGTATAAAACGATACTATGGGTAATAATGTTCATGTTTTTAATTATATCTTAATTACCTTCAATATTTAAACGAAATCCAAAAACTAAATCTAATCACCGAATTTCAACAATAAATAAATAAATAGGTAGCTTTTAATTTACGGACTCAGCCCGAGAATTAAATCATATAAACGATTTTAAAATACAAAATATATGCTTTGAAAATTTAAGCTTTGAATAGGTTAATTAATATAAAAATACAATTAATCCTTACTGTTTAACTAAATTGGTCAAAAAGAAAAATTAAATTTTTTAAATTTGAACTGAAATCTTTGCCCACCAATTAGTTCTTTTTTGCACACATCCAGACTTGAAGATATAAAAAATCAAAATATTGACTTTTTAAAATTTTTTTTTTTAATTGCAATAACATTGTTTGCACAAGTGTGCAAACACACTTTAAAATTTATTATAAGTTTAAGTTTAGAAAATATAAACCCTTAAAGAATTAAGCATCCCATATCTAAAAACTAAATACTTTCAAACAAAATTGTTTTCCCACCCTTAAAAACTAGATTTGTTTTCATCGTTTACCCAGCCTTAATAAAAATGTTGTTTGCACACCTCTTAAAACTAAATATATTCAAGCAAAATCGTTAACCCACCCTTTAAAAATTGTTTTTATCGCTTGCCCAGCCTTAAAAATAAATATTTTTTAAGGGCTTACATTTTCTAAATTTAAACTTTTTTCAAAATTCTAAAGGGTGGGCAAACAATGTTATTGCTCTTACAAAATCCAAAAAAGTAAACTTTTTGATTTTTTAAATTTGATATCTTCAAATTGGACGCGAGCAAAAAAAAAAACTAATTGGTGGGCAAACATGGGCGAACGATTCCAGCTTTCAAATTTCAAAAATTAGAATTTACCAAACCCAGCTTCTTTGAGCTCTAAGTGACGACAAGGTAATCTCTCAAATTTCATAATCTATTTTAACCGATCTATGTATGTACATATATGTATGTATGTATGTATGTACCTGCACATATTTTCAGACATTTGTAAAACTTTTGTTTTAAACATTAAACTTTCTTAGGGTGGCCTGCATTTTAAGAACAAATAATTTTATTGGGTTGGTAAGTCTCCTTTACTGCGTTATCTACATATCTCGTTAAATTATTTTAACGACATAATTCTTTATAACAGCACGCAATCGTATGGAAAACGTAGCCCATGGACAGAAAACAAAAATTTCAAATTTAATACGATTTTTTATAAATTCTTCCCTTACAATGACATAAATAATATATTAATATAATAATAAAAATATATATCAATACATTAATACATAGAAAAATAAATAAGATAAATAAATAAATAATAAAAAATAAATAAGAAACCAAAATCAGTTGTAAAGAGGAAAGAGCTGTCGAAATACATAAGCATTGTCAGTCAAAAGCATACGATATTAATCGCTGTGTGGCGCACACATTTTAACATGCATACATATTTGAACTAACAAGTCCAACCCACTCGGAGGTACCACATTAAATAGGGATTTAAATGGAACGAGATTTCAGTGAGTTTTAGCTACTGTTATAAAATCTCATAAATTACGAGCCTTACGGTTTTTTTCTAATGTAATGCACAACAAGCATTAGCGGTTTATTCATTAACGCAGAGGAAATGTACAAATTGTGCCAGTTATTTCTTACCTGGTTATCAGGACATTTAGCGGTACGCATTAGCTCCATCTTAGCTTCTTCCATTCTTTCCGTATCAACAGAATCAATAACAAACAAAATTCCATCAGTGCAACTAAAAGCGATTTAATAAACCTTTACTTTACTGTCAATTTTAATCATTTAAAATATAATACCGTGTATAACTTCGCCAAAGTGGTCTCAATTTTTCTTGTCCTCCGACATCCCAAACCAAAAAATGAACTCCTTTTGCTTTGCCAAGGGTACATTGTACCTAATAGTATAAATGTCGTTTGACAACCTATAGAAGATAAATATTCAAATACACATACCTTTTCGCAGTTAAATCCAATAGTTGGCACTGTATTTAAGTACTGATCAAACTTAAGTCTGTATAATGCCGTTGTTTTACCCGCAGAATCCAAACCTAACATAACTACATGTAGAGTTGCCTTAAATCAAAAATAAGTATGTTTTATATATACTTGATAATTTTTTTTTACTACCTGCGATGGCAAAGCATCCAAAATATTTCCATTCTTTACTAAAGGTTTTACCATTGTAGCCCCCATTCTGTCAAGAAATCTCGTCGACTTCACATTACTTCTGCTCTAATACATTTGTTTCATTCGATAACATAAGATATAACAATGTTACCGATTAAATAATTTGATGTAGCTTAAATTACACATCGCTCCCACTATGCTCCAATTATGGAACTATCTTGTATAGTTATTAGTATCGCTCACGTATTTTCTCAATAGCACCGCTTGCACTATGAAAAACAATTGTAAGATGTGAATCTTATGTTTAGATCTAAATTCGTTGAAAAGTATAGTAAAAGGTGGAAGGAAGCGTTTCCAACTATCTAAGGTGTATATAATATATTAATGATCATCATTCACAAGTGTTCCCACTTGTTATCTGACACCCGTTTATTGCCGAGCTGTATTTTCTGGATTGCATTCCGTATAGCTCAACGAAGTGGTTGTACACCTTCCACTGCTTTAGATTCAGACTGGTTTTATGAGCGAATCCGCAGAGTCTTATTAAAAAAATTTATTATTTTGTTTTGGAATTTCTATCCATATGCACTTCCACTAGCTGAGTAAGAGGTATCTGATTATATAGCGTTCTCTCTTGTTTGACATACATTTGTGGGCTTCGTCGGTAATAGCGTATAAAACGATACTATGGGTAATAATGTTCATGTTTTTAATTATATCTTACTTACCTTCAATATTTAAACGAAATCCAAAAACTAAATCTAATCACCGAATTTCAAGGACGATTTCAACAATAAGTAAATAAATAGGTAGCTTTTAATTTACGGACTCAGCCCGAGAATTAAATCATATAAACGATTTTAAAATACAAAATATATTGCTTTGAAAATGTATGCTTTGAATAGGTTAATTAATATAAAAATACAATTAATACATTTCTTTGGTGGCATCAAAAAGGAGGCTCTCTCCAATCACACAAACTTGAGCGTGTAAAGATCTCAAATGAAAAAGGATTTGCTAGTGTTAGTTAACTCAACAAAAGTTCTTGAGAATTCGTGTGTAAGTAATCACAAAACTATTTTCCCGTTGATATTTATACACCTTGTTAATCGGTTTTAATACCATTTATTTTATTTGATATTTATTTGGAATCCATTTGGATATAAATATAATTTATTTATTGGATTGTTATTAATTGGATTATTTTTAAATTTGTTAGGAACTAACTAATGTTTACTCAAATATTCTTCTACATTCTTCTTCAAATATTCTTCTTCTATTGCACCAGAAGTTGCAATAATAAAAATTGACGGCAATAGTACTTCTTATTCGATGCATAACCCGCTGCATACTTCTGCAGTCTTTGTCAGCGGGAACGCAGAATGAACGCCTCGTGCATTGCCCAACCCCTTAGAAACTTTCAGTTGTAGACTGCAGATTGAAAGTGTCGCAGAGTGCCTATTTTTTCGGATAACTAGCTTCTATATGAACAGTATTAAATATAATTTAAACTACACTATACTTATAAAATAAACAACGTTTTATTCAAGTTCCCCGACTTAGCTAGTAGAAGAGCGAATGAGAAATTTCATAATTTTTGATTATCTTAAGATTTCTTATGTGTTACTTTTGAACCATCGGATTTCCTTCGCAAGGTGCTCGCATGACTTCCTGTCGGTTGGCTCAAAAAAGGTTGATCATCCTTTGAGGACGTGTCCTTTGGCCCATCACTTGTCTTTCCCGTCCAGGACTCTGTAATCCTGTAACTTGGTGCAGGATTGGAGCGAAGATGTCCTCTCCGGACTCTCTGGACTTCTTGACTACGGAATCGATACCATTCATTTAGGACAGCAATCTTTGCCTTGCCTTCAGACGGTCTTCTCCCGAGTATGACATCTCCCGAAAAGAGGAAGAACTCCTTTGTCTCGGTTCTCTTGTCATCGGGCTGATAGGCCAAGTGTTCCGACTTGTAATCTAACACCCGTTTATTGCCGAGCTGTATTTTCTGGTTTGCATTCCGTATAGCTCAACGAAGTGGGTGTACACCTTCCACTGCTTTAGATTCAGACTGGTTTTATGTGCGAATCCGCGGAGTCTTATTAATTCACGAATAGGACGTACGTAGCAGGCTCGAAGTGATCCAAGCGTTTCCGTTATAGAATAAATTCGCAAAAGAAACTCGTACGCCATCTGTAACTTGATTTCTTTTATCTTCAGGTGCCATAAACGTGTGGCTTCGACCTACTCCTGAAATTAAGAGTCGCATGTTCTACCGACTGAGCTAGCCGGGCACAGAGAATTTTTTGTTTTTTGTCAAGGACCCCATAGGGAATACCTTTTTGTACGTTCCATCTCATATATCCGGTCTACGTCGCATCGCCTTACCATGGTTTTTGTATCCATCGACCCACTCGGAGCCCTTCCGTTTTAAGCTCTGCCAGGGATCTTATTGGGGACATCAACAGTAAACCACCCATTTGGGAGTTGATGTTATCCTATACAAATTCATCCTCAGCGATCTTGTGGTTCAATTTAAAGTGCAAGTTGTGCATGTCGGAAACATAATCGCTGAAGGGTTTATTATACCCTTGTTTCCTCTCCATCAGTTCCTTACCTTCATTAATTCACTTCCAGTTGCGGAAAAAGGCCGTTTCATATCCCTGGTAAGTGAATAGTAGTCAAAATTGTAATCCTCCGCTCTATTCCCCATTAGTTGCCAATACCATTTGCTAGCTGCGCCGGCCAGTAGACTGGAATTCTCGGAAAACTTGTTGTCGACTTATTCCATCTAATTCTTGTAACCTTTCGACATGGAATAAAAAACTTTCAATGGTCATACCTCGGCCGGTTCGAATTTCAAGTTCCATTTATCTAGCCGAACCCTAATTCGGGGTGAAATGGATGACTGGTCTTCACTGCTACGCTTTGTGGAGGTATCTGTTGCGGGGTGGCCGTTCGTCTAGGCTACCTCAACCGATGCATCTGGCTGTTAAAACACTTCTGCGACACTGGTTCTCGTGGCGGGGTATCTTAATGCCTTAGGAAGCTATCCGTAGGGTCTCTGGGTAGCCCAGGTGGTGGTGCTATTCTTGGTTGCTCCGTAAAGGTTTGTGCGGCTTGCAACTCAGCCACATTCTTCTTCAAAGCGTCGATATACGTTGCCTCTCTAAATACATCAGTTCGAGTTTCCGCCGATCAGCAGAATCCGACCCGGTACCGCGGAAGCATGCTGGAGCGACCTCTAGAAGGTCATGCACGTCTCTCTTCTTGAGTGCGTGATCGGGTCATCCTCCCGGTGGGTGGTTGGATTTATTTTCTTTTCATTTTCGCCCCCTTTCAATTGTGTATTTGGGTTTCTTTACTTGAGAATCGTTTGATATTCTGCCTGGTATGCAGCTAAATATATGACACGATCTATAATAAACGTTGCTGACTACAACATCTTATAATAAAATAGGTCCGGTATTTAAGCTCCAAAAAAAAAAAAACAGAGATGTCGGTCGTTGCCCTGATATGGGCACTCGGGCAACATGTCTCCGTCTTCCACTGCTTGGGAAATTTTTCTAGGCTCATACGGGAACTGGACCACCTGGAACTGTTATTCCTTTTGTTTGTGCGCTTTTACTAGGTTCATCCGCCTGTTACGTACGCCCTATTCGTATCCTAAAACCAATCAGAATCTAATGCGGTGGAAGGGGTACAACCATTTATTAGTCGGAATTTATTCTGCTCTTTTTATATTATATTGTAATCCGTTGGATTATTATAACACTAATATAGTATATATATAGGAATCTATGTATATAGTATATAGTATAAATAGTATATTTAATGGGTTTGGACAATGTCAAAATAATTATTTGTCTAACATGTAACAATTGTCTAATGTGTTTAGACATGATAAGTAGACAAACTATAAATATGTTCTATTTAAGGGCTGCAATAAACATGTCACGGGACAGCATAAGTGGCAACTACAGATAAGTACGATTGCCGAAGTGTCAAGAGGTATGATTACGCGGGAGGTGATTAGCGCGGTCATAGGCCACAAACATAGATTTAAGATAAATCCCAGCTGCATTGACCAACGCAGACTGCAGCGTCTTACAAGCGCTGCATTATATAATTAGATGCCCTCGCAGTAGCGAGTCAGTTAGATTCAAACACCCGAATTGAACTCATTAAGTGTACGCATTAGTTTATAGTGTGAACAATAATTAATAATATGAACAAAATAGATGACAGCGTAATGGGCAGAATGCTGTACTTTTGCATTCGCCGCATAGCCCGTTGTGCCACTCGGCCGACTTGGTCAGCGGGACAACCATGGGACCGCTGACTCAGTGCCTCGTGACCGCTGCGTTCCCCTACCCATTCCATCAGGTGTTTCAACACTTCTGGGCTAACTTATACATATGTACATCACAATTACACAACACCCCGCTTTGAATGCCTAAAGTCATTACTGATTGAAATGTGGATGATTTTCCAATGCTTTTCTGATCATCTGTCACAACTATGTTCGTGCAATATGCATATGATATCTATATATTTTTATTATTCTGGATGTATCTTGGCAGTGCCTCCAACGATAAGTTTATGTACAATATGAAAGCGAACGTTTACCTTAGTCGATATTTTTAGTCACCTTTTGGACCCACCATTTATAGACCGATGCATTATGCTACGATTTGATCAGTCAGACGACAGACTTTAGTTAAAGTAAAAACGCAGCAACACAAACATGTTGATTTTAATATACCTTTTATTTCAATTTACTCTAATTAAAAAAAGGGTTATTTATGACGTTTTAAAGTCTAGGCTTCTTTTCTTGGTGAAATATTTATTGAAAAGGCGATATGGCGATATATATATACATATATATAACTGCAAGGGTATATAAGCTTCGGATTGCGGAAACAAGTTAAGCACTTAGATGGTACTACAATAGAAATTGTTCTTTTTGTTCTTCATCTGCATTCATTTTTCTAAACTGCCAGCTTCCCAGGCCGTCAAACTCCAAAATATGTGTGTGATATTTCCTAAAATGGTAGACATATTTTTAAATTTAGGGAACTTTTTATAATATAGTGTCATCTTACCACAAAGTAGGCCTGTGTGTTA